CGTATCCGGATACAACATTTTAGTATCGATACTTTTGAAAATGAGTAATGTATCCGGATACAACATTTTAGTATCGATACTTTTGAAAATGAGTATGGTATCCGCATACAACATTTTAGTATCGATACTTTTTTGAGTATCGATACTTTTGACAACCCTAGTAAGTAGTCAAGTCAAGTCAAGTCAACTTTATTTATATAGCACATTTAAAATAACCAAGGTTGCCAAAGTGCTGTACATAAAAAGCATGTATATGTGATTTTAATGTAAAAATAAATACAAATAAATAAATAAATAAGATACATAAAAAAGGTAAAAAAGGTAAAAAAGGTGCTCTACCTCAACCTAAGGCAATGTTAAAAGCCATGTCAAATAAGTGGGTTTTTAAACAGGACTTAAACTCCTCTATAGTCTGGGCAGCTCTTATATTAAAAGGCAGGCTGTTCCAGAGCAAATAGCAGCTCTCTCTCCTTCTTCGGGGGCTTTAAACTGGGAATTTATCATTTCATGTTCAGTTTTGTTCATGGTTAACTCATTGACTGCCAGCCATTTTCAGAACAGAGAGTCCCACACTGCCAGAGTTTTTTTCCCAGTTAAAGCAAAAAAGTTGGACATTTACACACATTTGGTGGTGTGGATTAGGCCAAAATAAAACAGTAACAGACAAATCAGACTGTCTTTAGTATAAAAACCGACCAAAATCGGGATCAACTCGGTGGTTTTTCTCTCCTTCGGTAGAATTTGTGGAAACCAAAAAGCTCTGAATCAGACTTAGAATAAAGCTGGTCAAGTTTATTTTGACACACAATCAGAATATTCATGTGCATTTTAACTCATTGACTACCAGCCATTTTCAGAACCGAGAGTCCCATACTGCCAGAGTTTTTTGAGCATTTTGACTGATTTTTCAAGAGCCACAGAATAGTTTGTGCTATGACTATGTAAACACCGAACACACCAAAAGAAAGAGTAGACTCTCTTCTTTCATCAGGAAAAAAAATGGGTTTCTACCTTATTCCGTTCTTCCTGGACTTGCGTCTCACCGGCGAC